AAAGGGTTTTGCTTTCATACACTCACACCAATGAACTCCTGACTGCCTGTGCTTCCCTCCCAGATGCCATGGAATGTGCTTGGATGTGGCAAATATGAACCACGCACCCTCTTCTCCTTCTGTCTCGCGGCAAACTCCACTTCCTTCCTGCCCCTATACAGGGATGCTTCTATTCCTTCCTATACAGAAACACTGCCCATCTCGCCCACGCTGCAAAAGTCCCCAGATGTTATGTCTGAATTCAGTGATTATTTTAATTTATGGAGCTTGGCTTAATGTATCTTAAAACACATGTATTTTAACTAGAAACTCCCCAGGGACCTCGTTCAGAACTAATTGCTTGCTGTTTGTGCAATTCTTCAAATATGTAAAATGCTCTGTGAGGGCTTGGAATTACTCAGCTCTGCTCTGGTTTGGTCTTAAAGATGGGTAAGGGTGTCTAGCTGAAGTGTAAGCCTGGGAATCAGGATGTATCGACCCTCAGTCTGGCTCTGCAGAGACAGTATAATTTTAGGCAAGTTAACTAAACTGGCCTACAGCTTGGATTTCCTGTAGGGGAAGGATAATTATTTTATTTTTAATTGGGCTAAAAATGCATGTTGAAGGGCTGAATACAGAAATGGTTGGAAATTACAAATGAAATTTATTATCATAACTGTTATTATTAGTACGTCATTGAGAGTGAATTTAGCTCAGATCATGTTTTCCCCCATAATGGGGGGGGGATAAGAGGATTTCTAAAATAGCTCTGGAAGTCTTTTTTTCCTCATCATTTTGAGCATTTTCCATCTGCTGTGAGCACATTCCCGTTTTATTTCCTAAATATCTTTTCCTTCTGTTTCTATTTTAAAGTTCCTTTTGCCAAGATTTTTATTTCCCGATTACTGCGGCCAGGGGGTGTATGGCAAGCAAGCATTTACCTTTCAGATTTTGCAGTTAATTGGCTGGGAGGCAGTGGAAGTCCCTGCACCACTTCCGCTGAGTGCTCAGCTGTTTAAATCCCTCTTGCAGCCCTTAAGTTACTTTCCAGCCCTGGTGATTACTTGTACCTTCTCCTTTCCTTCTGTTGTAATAACTGAGAGAAGAGGTTTAGAGTGGCCGAATTCATGGGGTCGCATACATTTAAGGCTGGGATTGCATTTTAAAATAGTTTCTGGTCGTTCCAAGTTGGCAGGCTGGGGGATGCTTCTGCTTGCCCACTCCATTCAGTCTATCATGTTTCCATCTTTATATTCCACAGTAAATGGAGGATGCACTGTTTAGGGAAAAAAACCACTGCCGGGGATACCAAATGTACTCTGCAGTCTAAATTGAAAGTAGCTTCCTCTATTCCGCATTTATAGCTGGATAAGAGGGCTAAGTGTCATGAAGGGCAGTGCTTGAGGATGTCACGTTCCTGCTGGACCTCCTCCACGCCTAAAGAAGAGAGTATCATGAATAAAACAGTCATCACCTCATTTGTGGTACAGGCTGTGGTTACAGGCTGTAGCATGGGGGCCCTGTTGCAGGCTAACTTCTGGTGAGCTCATTCAGTATTCCTCTGTCTCATTTACATCTCTGCTAATTGCGTTATCGAAATGCCACATAAGTTGTAATGTTTTAAAGGTGGGCAAGTGCTTCTTAACAGGACTGAAAAAACAGGACTGTCTGAAAATTCTGCTTTTCAGAAAGCAAGTATTTCATGGAAATGAAATGTCAGTTTTGCCAAATTTCCAGTTTGCTCTAATTTTTTGTTCCTGTTTTCCTTTTTTTTCCATCCCATCTCACAATTATCTTTATAAAAGAGGAATTAATCTGTCTTAGTGGTAACAGTTACTTCTTGGGTCATGCTTCTGTGAAATACTTCAGTAGATTGTTTCCGTGTTTTCAAGCCCAGAGATGGCAGAATTTTTGTCAGCTGGTAAATTTAAAGGACATCAGATTTTTCTCAAGCAGTTCTATTTATCCTTACAGCTCCCTTGGAGTTGGAAGAGCAGCACTTCCCAGTATGTTTTATGTGGGGAAGGGAGGTATAAGAAAACTAAATGATCCACCCAAGCTTGTAATTGAAGCCTGGCCCAGAGCAGGGCAATAAACCCAGGACCTGGGCTCACACACTAGCCATTCGCCATCATTTCTCCAGTTAATGTCAGCTCTGGTAGGAATTTCTTATTCTTTTGCAAAGCCTCAGTCCCCAACACTTACAATAATTTTTGTGCCTGTGGAGTTTGGGGGCAGATTTAAAGATATGAATCACTTATCTGAAGAATAGTAGGCTCAAACCTCCCATATGTAGGCTGGTTTAATTTGAATTTCTTGACTTTTCCTAAGTGAGAAGCTGAATTCAGTTTCTTCCTTCTTTCAACCTTCCTGGCTCTACTGATATCCAAAAATGCAAAATGACATCTTGTCTCAGCCCACCAGAGCAGATGCATTGCAGGGGATTAGACTGGAAATTTTCCTAAAATGCAGCGTTCTGAGACTTTTTTGGAAAATGTAGCTGGGGAGCAGAGTATGTGATGTTCACTTGATGCTAACCCAGCAAGGCAGTAGATATGCAGCAAGCGAAAGCTGTAGGCACAGTCAACAAGACAGCATTGCCAAAACCGAGAAGACCTCCTGTTCAGGGACAGTGCCCTGAAGGAGAAGCCAAGTGGTGAGCCTACAGGACAGGCATTGGGAGAGTCCCACCTGCTGTCCAGACAGGCAAAAAGCATCTTGTAGCTGTATTCAGACAAAGAGAAGAAACAGCAAAGCTCCCTGGCTGAGGGGTTGGCCCAAGAGGGATGCCAGTCTTTTGGGGTGCAGCGTGTCTGGTAGGTTGGAACAGCTGGGCGTGCAGGTAGATGTGGATATTTGAGGTTCTTGCACCCTTCCCCCTATGCCACGTGGGGACCGCTGATGTGAAAGAGAAGCAGCAGCTTCAGCTTCCACGAGGAAGGGAGCTGCACAGGGGTCCTGCAGGGTTAAAGCCTGCTCAGGCGTGGCAGGGAATTGTGCCGTGCTGGTTTTGATCCTCGTTGGGGTAAACCGACGTGCGAGATTCGGATCAGAGTAGGAGAAAGTAAATGCTGCAGAGTGAAGGTATCTGTAGTGCAAAAGCTGTGTAGGAGGACATAGCAAGCTTCTGACAGATGGAAAAGGGCTGATGAATCCTGAAATCATGGGCGAAATCCAGCTGTCCTGCCCCCCTTCCCCCCCACCCCAGCAGCTCCTGCCCTTCAGTTAACCTTTAATTAACCAGGGCTTTGACTTGGGTGGAAAGTCAGGTTAGAGGTTTCCAGACATGTTGTCAAGAAAAAACATGAGAAATTGAGGGGGTGGTGGGGAGGCAAATTTGTTAAAAAAATATAATTTTGGCTCGGAAAGAGAAAATTTTAAAAGTGGTGGGTTGGTTTTTTTTTTCTCCCCCTTTTTGTCAGGCCATAATGATTTTTTTTTTTTTCAAGAGTGGTTGACTAACGGAAAAAATTATTGAATCAGTTGCTGAAGGCCTAATTCTCCGTCTCATGTAAATTACAAGTCAGTCTGAAATGAAGCCATGTAGGTGTCTTGCAGGAACGATTTGGTCCAGTGTAATTACTACAGAATAAATGAATGTTCCCCTGCAAAAAAAAAGAGGAGATGATAGGAAAGGGGCATATAAGCTTTGAGGCATGTTGTTTGGGGATACGAATGTCTGTGGAGAAACATGAAGGAGACAATTAGAAAAATATCAAGTAAAATTCTCTCCTTATGGGAAACATTTTTCATCAGATTGGTTATGCCAGGCATGAATTTGGCCCATCAAGTCAGTCAAGCCTTACAGGCAAAAATAAGGATATCATAAAAGCAGGATGAATTAATTCCTTCTCAGAGGAAAAGACCACCCATTGAGTCTTGGAGTTACTTTGATCCATACCCATGAACTCAGCTAGAACTTAAAGGAAATTCTTAATAGCATGAGCACCAACTGGCCATGAGGCATCGGGGCAAATCCATCACAATTCACTGTTAAGTAACGCTTCAAGTCTCGGCAGCGCTGTTTCATTCCACCATACAACTAAGAGGTCCCTCTTGGCTTTGCTTTTAATTAATTAAGTCACAGTAGTGGCGAACGTGGCACTACAGCAGTTGCTTTCTGCCTAATTGTTCTCCAGGCATATTTGCAGCACTCCTGTTGAAATCCCAGGCTTGTTTCAGGAGTCAAGCTGCACAAATGAAGTCCCTGCTATTAAAAGCAGTTTGTTTCCTATTCCTTGGCAATCTGTTCCTAACGCTGAGCCCCACTGAAGCATGGACTTTTTTTTTTCTTTTTTAAAGTGAATTTTTTTAAGCCAAAAAATTGTGACGTTTATGAACTACCGAAAGCCGTGCTGAGGAAATCAAGGTTTTCCATGTCAGCACCATAATATTTTCAGCAGCAAGAGTTTGATGTACCCAGTTTGATAGATCTCAGTACAATGGCATAATTATTTTCATGATGACCTTAAAGGTCTTTTCCAACCTAAACGATTCTATCCCTCAGTCCCAGATCTAGGATAACGTATTCGTTCTCTCCCCTTCCTGCATTATGGTCTTTGAGCAGTGAAACACTTTTTTTTCCATGCAGATCGCTCTAATATTAAAAGGCACCTTGCTCCCAAAGGTTTGCAAGCAGGAGGATGTATTTTATACCACAGTGCTCTGATTCTCCATCTTAAACTGTAGGACAGACACAACAAATTAAATCAACTTATGCTTAGTCACATCTGTTTCATTTGTATCAAACTGGTACCACTGAAGCAGAAAGCATTCTTATTCTCTCCACATTGTTCAAGCTGAAAATTAACTGGCTTTGCACATAATGAAACTCATACTTCATCTCTTTAAAATGATTGGACCTGTTTTATATTTTTAAAGCAGAGTGACTTGCAGTTGCAATGTGTCAGTCTGTTACTAATGGAAGAGGGAATATTTCCTCTTTCATCTTCCTTGTTTACCTCTCTGGATTTATTTGTGGGAGATCTGTAACTAAAGCAATCCCCGTTGTTCCTCAACAGAATTAGGACAGCGCCAGGTGTGAAGATCATGGACATCAGAGTCAGTGATGCAGACCAGTGGGGGGTTCAAGAAGAGACGGACAGCGCGAGGACCACTGCCACGATCACATGTGTGCACAACGACCCAACCGCAGAGAACAGGTAAGCCGCCAAGTGCTTTTGTGCATTAACCCTTGCTACAGTGCTGAGACATACAATAGCTTCTTTAATGAGTCGTATTGCTCTTTTAATAGCAGTATTTTTTCCTCCTCAGCCTCCATGAAAAAGCTATAGGTGATCTGATGAGAGCTTTTTTCCTTTTGTTTCACTTCTGAGCTTCGGAAGTAGATGATCTAATTAAACTGGAGGCAGCCAACTAGTCCTGGCTCACGCTTGCTTTTCATGCACCTTCAGGGCAGCAGGAGAATTCTTGTTGCCAAAGAGCCAACAGAAAGAAATGGATTAAAACAGAGAAATACGAAGAATAATTGAGAGCAATATAGGACAATGCTGTCTTCTTTATTTGAAAAGCCATGAAAGTAATAGCTATTAAGTGTTATTCATTATTGCTGCAAAACACCTATGAGTGTCTATGAACTGTCTCATGAACGCTGTGTACATTTGTTATGGTAACGCTCCCACAAGCTATATCAAAGGTAATGAGAAATTTACATTGTTAGTCAGAATTATGTATTTTACAATACAAGCAATTTCTCTCCATTTTCATGCAGTTGCTTTACACTTAAAGTACACTGCATAAATTTAGCTTGAAATTGTATCATAATTAGGAAATCACAAAACTTTATGTCAGAAGTTTTATTTGAGGAGTCTTTTGCATCCATCTTTTTTCTGAAAGCTCCTGTAAGGGAGAAAAACAGTTGTTAGTAATTGTTTAGACCTAGGAAGATTGTTGCCAGAGGTTCGGAGTGCAAAGAGAGTCTCTACTCCGCTTAGTTTCTGAAGCTGTATTTGAGGAACACATGAATCCCATCTAGCTCTGGGTCCCTGCCATACAAGTGCTGAGGTGAAAGCTATTTATCCATGGGTTTGCTTTTTAGCAACAGGGATAAGCAGGCACCGTTAAGGTGAGAGTCCTCTTGGATGTGTAAACCAGGCCTGATGAATAGCAAGGGAAAAGTGCCTGTGTCTCTCCAGTAAAGATGCAGAGCGGAGGCGACTTGAGTGGGACGCAGACATTTGCATTGTAAACGCCTGAAGTGAGGGGAGGTGATTCCCGGCTCGGTGTCTCTGGTTAAGTCAAGTGCTACAGAGCTTTCTGGCATGAAATGCCAGGCAAACCTTTTAGTTCATTAGCTAGTTTGTGCACTTCCTCCCCATTTAAAAAAAAAAAAAGGGGGGGGGCCCCCCCAAAAAAAAAAAAAAAGGGGGGGGGGGGGGGGGCTCTTGTTTCCTAAGTACATTTGTCAATGTTGCAAGTTGTGGTTGAGGTTGTGATGTAGGAAATTCAAGCCACCTTCCATCTGCAATGAAAGAGATTGCTCCTGCACTCTCACTCATACTTAAACTGCCTTTAATGAAGATCCTTGAATTACTAAAAGGAGGAACAGATGAATCAGGTCTAGTGACAGTTTTGCCACGTTGACCTTAACTGAAGCAAGTTCAGGGCTCTGCCACCTTCCACCTTCCATCACTATTTTGCTGGGGTTTCATGGGGTACCGTACTGACAAAGCAGAGCTCTGGCAGCTAGATTTGGTGCTGTATGCTTCGTCTCCAAATCTGCTGTCCGTCGGCAAGGTTTCCCAGTTCCTCCAAAAGCTGTTAAAGAAGCCAGCAAGTCCCTTTGGTGGGGGAGAGCTCAGCCGGCGGAGACGCTGGCTCACCGGGGAACCATCGCACTTGTTATGGAGCTGCGCGATGACACGTGATGGCTCCAGCAGTGAAATCTCAACCTGAATTAGCTCCGGTGGCTGATCTGGGTGGTTGTGCAGTATCTGAACGTTGCAGTCGGGTTTTTTGCTAAAACAGCTGTGACCTCTGTTCTGTTAAGAGCAAGGTGGAAAGCCATCAATTTGAAAGTGAAATGCTGAGGTTAGAGGCAAACTTAAGCTCTCTTGGTGTTATAGAGGAATCTCTCTATTGAAACGAAACAACAATTTTTAAAGTTAGACAAAAAATAGGACGAACACTGAAACTTATTGCCTTGTACGTGGTTTCACTAATCCATGAAATTATACCTGTCACAGTAACTTAGTTTTTATTAAAACTGATTTTTGCTTTGTGTTGAACTGTTAAATTGCACAAAAGCAACGAATCCCAAGTTAATTAATACTTTGACCCTTTTCTTTGTGAGATTAGTTTAATATTTTTGGATTAATTAAAGTATGCAAATAGAAACTGCTGAAAGATCATTTCCAGATTTGCAAATATTGTCGTGCTTAGAGTAAATATTTAACTTTGATCCTTACTTTAATTTGCCTTTTTGGTCATAATGGTGGCCCTCTTGTTTCTTTTGAAGAATGTGAAGTGTTTATGTGGGGCTTCTGATGTTGCATTTAAATGAGCAGAGCCCTGAACTTGCTTCTGTTAAGGTCAACGTGGCAAAACTGTCACTAGACCTGATTCATCTGTTCCTCCTTTTAGTAATTCAAGGATCTTCATTAAAGGCAGTTTAAGTATGAGTGAGAGTGCAGGAGCAATCTCTTTCATTGCAGAGCAGAAGCTATTAGTAAACAGAATCCTATCTACCTTGGGGGAGACAGTTTTTTCTCCCTTGGAAGTTACTTCAGTTCTGCTGACTTGCCTGATGCTACGCTGGGAGTAGAGAAGTGGGTAGGCCAGGATTGAGCCTCTGAGCCCAAATAGTTTTCTCTGGGGAAGAGATGGCCGAGTTTGCCGTGGTTTTGCAACCCTGCTTGGGCTTTGCGAGGGAGCGGAAAGCCGTGGCAGCCCTGCAAGCCGGCTGGGCTGGCACAGCTCTAGGAGGTTTGGTGAAAGTGAGAAACTCCAGCAAGTCACAGCTGCATTCGCCAAAATCTCTGACTATCCTCGTCGCCCTTAGCTCGGAGAGAGAGGTCTGTTCTCCACTGCTTTGCACTTCGGTTACTCTTTCTTCCCCAGTGTGCAACTCTGATAAGAGCCACTGACAGACGCCGCCTGCAAGGAGAACAGTGGCTTTGGACTGTGACATGTTCGTAATCCAGTCTGCATTCCTTTTAGCCAGCGTTATCAGCTGGAGCCTTTTCAAATTTGCTTACTTTTCTAATCTTTCTCCTTCTCCCCTCTGCAGTGTTATCGTTATCATGAGTTTTTAATCTCCATTTCTCACATTTCCCTATGCAAATTGAGTGTTCATTAAAATGCTTTAAATTAAGACCTTTCCTCCTTTCATGCAGAGTGCATCATGCCTTTTCTGTGCATTACTTTAAAAAAAAAAAACCTCCTTATCACAATGTTTCAGGCAGTTTACATTATATTCTATTAAAAATCCATTTTGTCCAAGGTTGTCACAATTCATAGATTAAAGCTTTCCAGAGTGTGTTTTGTTAGGAACACATTCATAAATTCACCTCTTTAGTAGTCCCGTAAGCTTGTATTTAAAACCTCTTTTTGATAATGTAGTTGAACAAAGAGCATAAAAAGAGGAGATTTATTTTAAATATACACACACAAGTATATATGCACACATCTATTCTGATCTGTGTGGAGCCTTGCTTTGCCCTTATTGCTGCCATCTCAAAGGACTTTTTTGGTAGCTCATTGAGCGAGGAGATCGATTGTTACCATCTGCATTTATTCTCCCTTGTATTCTCTCCTTGGGGCAGAACTCTGTGAATCTCATTTTGGTAGGGTTAGTTGAAGCAGCAGTGTGTTTTGTTTCAGAAAGACGTAGTTTCTACTTCAAACACAAATACTCTCGCATTATGCCTGCAGCTGGGACCCAGCGCTTCCGTTCCATAGGAAAGGATCTTTATGGATTTCTGCATTGAGTGCAGACTGCATCCTGCAAGGAATAGGGGAAGTCAGGGCTGGTAGGCTTAGATAAAAATCGAGTGCTTTCAGCCTTCCGTGCAGAATAGTTGTGTTTGTGAAGGACTGGGATCTTACCCTGCGGTGTAGAGCTGTATGTTGAATTACTGCAAAAAATGCTTTTGAAATACAAGGCCAAAATCTGGGAGTCTACCAGACACAAATCCTTCATGGCTTCCAGAAAACTGATACTATTTTTGTAAAGGCCACGCAGCCTTTTTCCACTGTATTTGCCAAAAGATGGATTGAGCCTTGCAATTCTTCTGTCCTTTGCACCTCAGTTCTCTGAAGTGCCTCAGGAACATGCCACAAATTAGGCTGCAGTAGGACTAGGGCGAGAGGGCTTGAAAAGATGCCCTGAGAGCATGGTCTGTCTCTGGCAAGCTATGGTGCCTCATAACTCAGCGCTGATATTGAGAGGAATGGGATTTCAGGAACTTTGCCAGAGTGATTTAGCATTTTACAGGATTAGGTTATTTCAAATCATTGGTGAGCAGGAGCTGAGTTTCCATGATCTCCTCTGAAAGGCCCCACAATACGACATATTTCATGGTGCTCGGTGTCTCCCTGCTGGAAAGCTGAAGAACAAAAACTTTGTGACCTGGCCTTTGGTCCAGCAGAGATGAGATGGCACAAACACAAAAACTTAGGCCAGAGAGTTGCAACTCTGCTTTGAAAGGGAGTATATGAAGAGATCATTTTCCTTACTCAGGAAAACTGTCATTAAATTGTATTGGATTATTACCCAGGTGAGGAGAGTCTGATTCTCTGACAAACCAGTACTTTAATCAGAAAGGTTATATTTATGTTATGCTAACTCGCAAAGTTAATATTTATGCTAACTAGCAAAGTTAATGAAATTGATTTTACCTGCAGTGCTGAGTATAGTGTTATTGAGACCAAACTGGTTCTTCTCACTTAGGAATTATTTTATCTCCATGTCTATAATACAGCTTCCATCTCTCAGGATATCCATCGCTGCATAAATTAAACTTGCATGAGGGAGACTCGGAATGCAGAAGTAGGGAGGTTGAAATCTTCAGAGGGATTTTTTTTCAAGTGTCCTCAGAAGTATTTATTCAGTTGCCTGGAAATTTATATTTTTTTAATTGATGCAGACCAGCTCAACTGTCTGGCATTTGACATCATCTATCTTTAAACTTGAATAAAAAAT